AACCTACTGTGGTCTGAAGTGTTTAACTATCAAGCTGGATTCCTTAGTAGACCTGCGTTGTTTGTCACCGAAGAGTTGTGAAATATATCTTCTTCCTGTTTAAAACAAAATTTGTTCGAATGGCTTGAGTTTCATCTACTATAATCTTCTTAAGGTTTCCATCCCCTGTAGATAATTCTGCATGCACTAATCCTAGAAATAAGTATATAAGCAAAACAACTTGATGGGAGTAATCACCTACATGACTTGTTTTCCAAAGTTAAGTGTGAGAACAACAACAAAAAATTATTGTGGTATTTTAATGCTTACCTTATATTTATCTTATTAATTTTATTTTAAATATTTTTTGAATTTAATTTATCATTTACATGTGCCTGATTGTGTGTGGTAGGGGGTTAAACATACTGTATAGCACCTTTGTTGAGGTCAGAAGACAATTATTGGGAGTTGGTTCTCTCCTTTCACTATGTATGATCTGGGGACTGAAATCTGGTGGATTTGAGGCAGGTACATTTATTCACTGAGCCCCCTCTTTGGCTCTGATTGCTTTTTTTTGATTAAATGAAATTTCTCTTTTTGGACAATGTGTCTCTTCACATTTATTTATTAAATTATTTAATTATATTAGTGTGATGTATGGGGTATTTACAGTTTTCTCAAGCTTGTAATTCAAAGTTTTCTCTATTTATTTTGTTGCCCAAATTGTTGAAATATGGTGTTTGAGAGCTCTGTCAGGTTAGATCCTCTGTTCTTTTGCCATATCCCATCTTGATTACTCTTATTTAGTCATTGTTTCCTTTCTAACTGTACAGTATATACTCTGCTTTAAGCTATCACATGTTCTCCCTTCCTTGCAACCAACCATATCTCTCAAGATCATTTTTTCCTTTTACTGGAGAATGTATTTTGAAAATGTGATATGGATCTGAATGTAAGATTGGCATATTGCTTACATTTCAGCATTCTCAATGAAAGCATTAGGGTATGTGAGCCTATTACATATCAATACACAAATGAATGCATGTATACTTATGTATCATACATAGATATGCATATATGTACATATATGCATATATATACAAGTTATACACACAAAAAGAAAAATGGCGAGTTAATACTGATATATTAACTGTATTCTTCCAGCAGACTGTTGAATTATAGCATTATTATTTAGCTTAAATATAACGTCTTTTTCAAGAAAGTGACTTCCATAATTTACAGTATAGCTAATTATTTATAAAATGACTAATTTTCTCATTCCTAACAGATGTCTCTCTAAGTCAATTTTACTAATTAGTGTAGAGTTCTATTTTTTTGGTCTTATTTTATTGAAGAAAATGTAGTTTTCCAAATTAATGTAGTTCAGCTCCTTTGTTTCTCTTCATCTTCAATGTGATTTATTTCTCCCAAGGCTTAAGCAAGGTATATTTGATAACTAAAAAGGTTAAAGAGGAAATATAGATGGATATGTACATAAATATGCGCACAAGTGAATTGTAATGATTTAAAGGAAATTTGAAATTCAGAAACAAAATATTAAAATATGTGAGATGTAATGTAAATACAACTAAGAAGAAATTTATAGCATAAACTTAAATTTGAAAATAAGACAAACTTGAAATTAATAACCTAAATTTATAATATAGGAATTTAGGAAATGAAAAGTTAACCTACAAAATGGAGAACAAAATACAAAGATTTACCAGGCAATAATACAGGAGTAATGAAGATTTGAAATAAGAACACAATATAAGAAGAAATGGGTGAAAAAGTTGTCAGTGAAGGGATGAATATCTGCTAGAACATATGGAGAAAATGAAAACTACTAAAGCTTGAAAGAGAAAAAAAAATCATCAATGAAACAGAGGTATAGATCTTCAGATCTTATATGTTGAAGATATGGTTAGTAAAGTAAGAGACTATTATAAAGTGTGTGCTTATCTATTTGAAATCGTAGACGTTTTTTGAAAATATAATAGAAAAAATGGCAAATACTCAAAACTCATTAAAGATGATAAATTTACCCTTTCATATTGACTTCTATTCTTAGTATACTATTTTACTGTGATGAGGTAAAATGTCTAAAGCACTATCTAAATTTATTCTGTGTAGCATAGCAACATATATTTTCCAAAGAAAATGAAGTATTTGAGGAAGACAGGATTGGAACATTTTGAGGACACTTGTCTCCTATTAGAAAAATTTTCGGACATATGTGCCACCATTAGGAAAATTCTCTGATCATTAAATACACTGAGATAAATGAAGAACTTCAAAATCTAACTTAAAAAATAATCTGAAAATTTATACTATTGAATTTTAAGACTTTTTTCTCTTAAAATAGTCATATACAAAGTTGAAAATAGTTTTTTAAGTAACCTCAGACCTTCAGTAGTATTATTTGGATGCAAAGTACTCTTACTCCTGCTTTGTAAGGCTCAACACCTGTTCTCTGCCAATTACTGTGTATTCTCCCTACAGCTTCCTGGTGAAAAGGTTAAGATACAAACATCTGCCTGAAGCAAATACGCTTGCCATCCAAACTAATAAGAAAATAAATTAAACAAAACTCTCAACCCACCAAGAAGAAATATTCAGTATTTCAGGAAGATAGTGGAATTATTCCAATTCAATAAAGGGCATTTTTAAAAAGTGTTATTGACAACATTCCATTTAACTGTAAAAGACTGAATGACTTTGCTCTCCATAAAGGAAGAGGCTAAGGATACACATACTCTGAACGCTCCTTAAAAACAATACCATAAATTTTAGAACTTCAATTAAGCAGAAATAAGTAAATACATAAGTAAATTTCAAAAAGTATGTTTGTGGTGTAAAAAATTTCCTAGGAAGATGTTAACAGAGGTCTATTCAACTCAAGTAAGGAAAGCAGCAAAGAAATGATTCAATGAAAGTCCAGCATGGTGAGGTTACTGAGGTAACTTATAGGACTGTGGATGTTCCTTACAAGAGGATGGACAGGAACACAAAGGGAGCTGCATCACCAAAAAGCTCATTCCAACCTGGCTGATGATTTATGAAAGCTACATCTGTAGACCTCTCTTCATGACTTGAGGGTAGTTTTGCAAGTCAGAGAGCCTCTTCCATGCAGTCTAGCTGATGAGAGGGTCTCCTCTCTCCAGTAGGAAATTGCTACACAATACTTTCTGGCATTCTTTCTGGCTGCACTCTTTTATGTTCCCTCATCCTTGGAGATGGTAATATGGATGTCCATAAATGGCTGAGATTTGGGCCACTATGCTGCACTATCTGTCATTTTTTCACAGGAGCTTCATTGGTGACTATGAATGTTCCTCAATTTGATGTTATTTATCTGTGCCCACAAAGAATTAACAGTAAAAGGGCTAGTCATTTCACTAGCACTGATGTGCAGAACAGGACTGAGAACAACCAGGGCAATGGTACTTCCATCTACCTTTCAATTCTGAGGTTGGATTAACTAAAATAAAAAATATATTAAATAAATATCAGTTAAAGACTTTAAGTACAGAGGCATTCTGCATAAGTGAAAAAGGTAACTCCAAGAGACTTTAGGGCTGCTGAATCGAAATCCTAGTGACAGGGGTAGGGCTGTCTCCCTAGGACCTGGTGACCAGGGAGGTCTCTGATACCCTGCAAGCCATAATGACTACTGCCACTGTGTTTGGTTGAATGCCAGAACTACGTGGTAAGACCTTATTGCTGAAGACACCAAAAACTTTGGCTACAGGACATGAAGAAATCAAGCTGGGACAGAACTGAAGTTCCCTCATTGCTGGTTTGATTTCATAATGCTGGAGGAGACCCTTGATAGGGCCTCAACTGTTCCTTGCTTATGTGGAAACATTTGTATGAGGTCTATGGCAACATCCACATCATATTTTCTCTTACTGACAGACATTGGCCTTATGAAGACAACATGCTAATCCCACAAAGGACTGTTTGATACATGTTCTTGACCCATCAAAAAAATTAATTTGCTGAAGCAGTACTTGAGAACAGGCCTCATATGTTTTAACAACATACAAAAAAACAGGATCCTTCACATGAAAGTCAGCAGCCTTAAACATTTTTAAATCTCTATTGGCTCCCATGAGGTTGGACTTATATGATCCAATGGGCAGCCTTCAGGTGTACCTAGGTGCAGATGGCCTGTATTAAATAAGGACATCTGTTTTGAGGTTTCTAGGATGACTCAGTGGGCTATGGACTCTCATACGGAAATCTACAAGGGAAACTGATTCCTGTTGAACTCTGTTATATATTTCTTTACACAGGTTGACCCACAGTGGTACTTACCAGTTTTACTTTTCCCCTTGGACTACGCATTAAGTAAGGATACTCTTTTGACTGACAAAGTGTCACAGGACAAGCCTCAGGACTTATTACTACCATACTGATCTCTACTCAGCCCAATTGGACACTTTCTCCTTATTCTTTACCAAGCCACATTGTTTCTGTGTTCTTTTGTTCTTTTGTACGTGACACAATTACTGTTCTTCTATTTATAATACACACACATACACACACAAACACACACATATCCCAAGCATGTATAAAATGGGTGGTGTCTAATTTACTTTCTATTGCTGTAATAAAAACACTAACCAAAACCAATTGGGGAGGGGAAAGGGTTTATTTTGCTTACAGCACTGTTCATCTTCGTAGTAAGCCAAGGCAGGGACTCAGTGCAGGAACCTGAAGCACAAACTGTGGAGGAACACCGCTTCCTGTATTACTCCCCTTGCCTATACCCAACCTGTACGGGGTGTCACCACGTGCGGTGGTATGGCCCTGCTACATCACTCAACAATTAAGTAAATGCCCCTTAGACACAGTCACAGGCCAGTCCAATTGAGGAATTTCCCAGTTGAGATTCCCTCATCCCAGGTGTGTCAAGTTGACAACTGAAGCTATCTAACACAACTGACCACTTGTCAACATGACACACAAACACATCACTATTAAACCATAACCTTTCCATTTCTTTTTTTTCCTCTCAAAACTCAGAAAATACCTTTCATCCGTTATCGGACTTGGGTGGTATTCAACTCATCACTGGTGAACCTTTCCATTTCTTATCCACAAGATATGATGTTAATATTACATATCAGACCGTAAAACTTTAAAATTTCCACAGTCCTTTAAAAATTCAAAGACTTTAAAAGTTTAAAGCCTTTCTTAAAAGTTTTTTAACAGTGGGCTTCTGTAAAATTCAAAACAAGTTTTATATCAAAAGGGAAAATGTGGGCACCCTTAAGCAAAACCAAAGTCAAGCAAAGTATCTCCAGGCTACACATCTAGGATTAACTCATGATCCTCTAGGCTGCAAGGGCTTGGGTAGCTTCAAATCTCTGGCTCTGCCATACACAGCACATACAGCTTGTGCTCAGGCTGGCTCCATCAGCACACCTTTTCCACGGTCCTTATACCTCCAATATGCTGCAGTTTCTACTGAAAAAATGAGCCTGCACCTTCACTAATGGGCTCTTCAGGTATAACATGACCTTGCTATAAATATGTATGCTACCTTTGTAAAGTTTTATTCTGTGCCACCCCAAAAGGCTTTGCCAAAATGCCTTCAAACCAACATTTAATTGGATAAGGTATTTTTTTGTGGTTATTGAGTTAGGGACAGTGATGAATTCCCCCTATGGTAATGCTTTATGTGCATCTAGAAATTGATGTTTTAGCTCTGAATACTAAGCTCCTGCCCCTTTCCATGACTCAGACCAAAATCCTATTAGAATTATTTCCTTGGGTTATTTTTGTCATAGGTCCAGCTGTGGCCTTCTGGCCATCTGGTGATTTTTAACATGGGAGGACATTGGAGAAATGACATACACAATTGTTAACATGTGGAACAATGATATAAGCTTGCTCAAAAGCATATTGGGCATTTTCATTCCAAACCCATAGAAATGAATATGGCAGCCTCTTCGTAAACTTATCCAGGTAATTAGCAACTTTAGTGAGGTAGAGTATGATCATTTCCAGTATCCCAGGAGCTCTAAGTATACCTGCATCTCTTACATTTACAGGAATAGGCTATAGTGAGATTTCCTATTTTTTATTTTTTTTGATATCCTGTGAATCTTACTGGACTGCAATACTCTGAAAAATATTGTACCTTAGTTTGGCCCTTTCATATTATGTGAAAAGATGGCAAATTCTCATTCTTTTAGGTGAAGTGGTATGTTTCCTACATGTTTTTCTAAATCTACAAATCACTCTGAGTCAGCATAATGTCGTCTATGTAATGAAAACTCTGTTACAGAGATTGGGTATAATAACAAAGTAAGATCCTGAACCAGCAGTCCATGACAGAGTGAAACTGTTGGGGGACTATGCTTAGAGGGACACTACTCACCATTACAACTGAATACAAATATCTTAAGGCCATATTAAGAAACGCATTTACAAGGTCCAATATAGCATGAAAAGATCACATTACTTGTTTTAGTTGTTCAGTCAAAAGAGCAATGTTGGGTACAAGTGGCATATATGTAAGAACTAACTTATTTGGCTCTCTACAATCCAATGCCATTCTTCAAGAACCATCTGGCTTCTTGGCATGGCATACTGAGCCATAGAAAGTGCTTGGCAGTGTGGGAATAATGTTTATCTTTTCTAACTCCTTTACATGTTTCTATAATTTCTTCATAATCCTCAAGGCATTCTGTACTGGTTGATCTACATCACTCTACTCAGAGTAGTCAACATTGTAGGTTACAATTTCCCACAACCATGCATGAGTGTCTTCACAATTCACACCCTCAGATAAAAGTCACCAATGGTGATATGCATGGTGTATCTGAGCAAGTAATCCACTCCCAAAATACCTTCTTGCAGTGGAGTAATGCACACCTATCATATACTCTTGGAGAAGATAATTGCCCACTGCTAGAATAAGCTTTGCCTTTTTACCCACACTGCTCTATACCCATGCCCATCTGTTGCTGCCCATTGCATCTGGTGATATGGGAGTTTGCTGTGAATTAAGGTATAATCAGAATCTACCAAAGCCAAGGTATATTGGGCATTAATAGGGAACCAATAATTCTACAGTTCAACATAGGGCCTCTAGTTATCATGGATGACCTTCACTCACAAGCAGGGCTACTTACATATTTCCCTTCCCATAGTATTTCCTCCATTTTATAAGCAATTTGCCTCTAAGTAGAATCTCTGTCTCATTGCCTGTCTTATTGCATATAGCAGTGGCCATGCAATTTCTACAGCAGCCTGCTGACACTCTTTGCACCCGTATCCTACTATAAAGAACTAAAATATTACTCTGAGCCTCTGACTACTCTCAGGTTAACCCTGTTCTCATTCAGTATACCACACTCATTTAGCCAGTGGGTCACTTCTTAACACACAGAGAAAGATTTTCACGATGGGGCTTCCCCTATAGAGACACTCTATACCTCCTGACGGTTCAGCCATACCTTCACATCTCAATACCCATAGCAAGGACCATGCAACTGGTACTGTAGCAAGAAAGGGCACCTCTTCATACTATATGGGGAATGATATCTGTATTTGGATTCCTCCCACAAATTTTACACCCTCAAATGGTCCAGCCTTAGTTTCATGTCTCAATATCCATTGCAGAAATGGTGATTCCACTCTTTTCCAACTATGAAGACACTTATTGTCTTCTTTCACTTCCTATGAAGACACTTATTGCATTGTATTTTATTTTTCTGAGGAGACATGAACAGGCATGTACATATTTCAGATTGGAAAATCAGAGAGACAAAAGTAATGATCCTACTAAACACCAATATCAAAAAACAATGAATTTACTGGGGTTATTTAGAGAGTATAGGTGAATCTCCTCTTTCCCCAGTCATTGTTTACTGCTTCCAAACATGAGAGGCAGACCTTAAAATGTTGTTATTTTCTGGAAATTCCTGATATTTGTGAGTTATTTGTTACATGAGTCTCATGTCACTCCCTCCCCAACCCCTTCACAAAAGGAAGTTTGAATTTGTAGGAAATTGAAATGCATCATTTGGAAAGGAGTACAAAAAGTTCTCTATTTACAGATTGTGTATTTTTTCTGTGGAGGAAAATATCAAAATATTTAAAGTAATTATCAGAGTAAGTGATCACCTACACACATTTTTTAAAAGGCAACAATCTGTAAATGAGGAAAACCATGTCATAATTTTATCTCACATTATTCCACAGTCCTTACTCTCTTTGATATTACTGAAAGGGAAAAACGCTCTTGTATGGTGCTTACTTTTCTTATTCTATCCCCTAAGTTGAAGTGAAAATTAAAATTATCAGTACTTAAGTAATGATGTAAAGACAATTCATGGATATGATACAATGTAGCAATATGAGCACAAAAGAAAATATGTTGGATTAATATATGCACATATATACATATGTTTATGATGGAATTACAGGAAAATATGATTGATAATTAAAAATAAAACTGCAATAAAAAATCAACTCTATAAGAAAACCCAAAGTATATTGAGTGATTTAGAAGAGAGAAATGTATCAACAGAGTGGAGGCAGAAGATAGGAGTTCTCTTAGTGGAGTATGAGATAGTGGAACTCAAAGAGGATGTAAATAAGAAACTGAACAAAGACCATAGAGCATAAACAGTTGAACAATATAATGAAAGGAAAAAATAAAATAAAATTAGAATTCAAAAAACGAGAGAGAATATTTGGAAAGCCAATCTGAAATATTTGACCCAACTTATCTCATTTTAATATAGTGTGAGGTTACTTCTATTTAATATGGATTTACAGATTTACCATTATTTGTTAAAATAACTTGTCCTTTCCCTCATACAATGGTATTAATACACTTTTCAAAAGCTCTTACACAATAGATGGGTGATATTTCATCTAAGCTTTTTAGTCTATGCCATTTTTCTATATATCTGAGTTCATGCCAAGATAATTCACTTTTATTATTATATCTTTGTAGTAAATTTCAAAGTGTGGAATTATGAATTCTCTAAATTCATTTTCAAGGCTGTCTAAACTCATTGAATTATTTGACTTCATATGAATTTTTCTATTTTTGAAGATGTTATTAAGTGTTTATAGGAGTTCTAGTGACTAATAATTGGTGGTATTGGAATCTTAACATATAACCCACTTTCATTCTATTTATTTTTGTTGGTTTTAAAATCTTTAACAAGTATTTTATTGAAAATGAAAAAGAAATATTTACTTAAATTTATGTGTGTGCTTCCTTAAATGTGTGAATATGAAACCATGAGTGCAATGACCGTGGAGGCCAGAAGAGAATATTGAATATGCTGAACTGAAGTTATGGATGGTTTTCAGTTGGCATGTGTGTATGTTGGGAACTGAACTCAGGCCGTCTGCAAGAACAGCCAGTGTTCTTAACCACTAAGCCATCTCTCGGGCCCATTTCATTTTTTTTTATTGAGCTTTTATAATTTCATACATTTCCCAATCAAATCCAAAGCCCCTCCCCCATCCATGCCTCCACCCATCACCCACTAAATCCTGTGCACTCTGCCATACATGCTAAGTCCTATTCATTCAGGTGTTTGTACCCAAATGTGCTTCAGTATAAATGCTTCCACTGGAGTCTAATCGCCATCCAGTGATTGTATGTAAGTCATACTCTCCCTTACCCAGTAGCAACCAGTCTCAAATAGTTCTCAGTATAATGCTGGCTGCCACCTATTTCCCACCTCCCCTTTGGGCCCTTGTTTAATTGAGCTGACATGGGTCCCGTGCCACATGCCACCACTGCCACAGGCTCACATGAGTAAGCACCCAGTGGCCTGCAAGCCTCCACCTCCCTATGTTCATGAACCAGCCCTGGCTCTTCCAGTCTTTCTGCCTCCTCTTCTGAAATGGTCCCTGAGCCTTGAGTGGGTGAAGTTTCATATAGGAGTCCCATCCTACACTCTACAGTCTCTTTTTCTCCAAAACTTGGCCAGTTGTGGCTTTCTGTGTGCATAGCACTATGCTATACAAGGAAGCCTCATTGGTGAGAGCTGAGGGATTCATTAGCTCTCTCTATACCTCTTATTCCACGGTGTTCCATGAGCCT